AAAAAAAAAAAAAAAAAGAAAAGTTATTGTGTCAGGACTGGAATCACAAGCTAGGGAGAGCTGCTTAGGAAGTGATTGGTGTATTAGAGGATGTTTTTATTATTACGTTATTAATTACGAAATGTCTGATTTCCTTAAGTACTAAGTTTGATAGTTGATATCTCTTACATTTCATTTGACACTTCTTGTTTTATTTTTATCCTGAAGATACATCCTCATTCTTTCAAATGCACATTTTGGCTTGTGATTGTTTTTCAACTTTTTTTTTAGAGCAGTTTTTGTGGATAAGTCAAAAACTCGTATTATTTTTGAATATGAGTTCCATCATGGGACCAATGCAGCGTAGACAGCTTGAAATGTCAACAGAGTGTTTGGGACGGATGTGGCTAATGAACATACGATAAGTACATAGATGGTTTGAGAAGGTCCATTGTGATTTTAATCTTGAAGATGAACCACGTGGGCGACCTGAGACCAAGGTGGATAGTGATGAGCTGAGAGCTATAGTGGAAGCGAATCCATCTTAACCTACGTGGGAATTAGGAGCAAGGTCTGACGTTACTATTCCAACAACATTGGAGCATTTGGAACCAACGGGCGAGGTACAGAAGCTGGATAGATGGGTTCCCCGTCAATTAAATCAGCGTCAAAAGAGAAATCATCTCGAAGCTTGGCCTTTCTTTGCTGCCACGACATAAAGGCGAACCATTTCTACACCGTATTGTTACGAAAACGGACGAAAACTGGATTCTTTCCGACAATCCCAAGCGTTTGGCACAGCGGTTGGATAAAGGTGAAGTGTGAACACAGTCCAAGACTGGATATTCATCAGAAAAAGCTAATGGTGTCCGGTCGGTGGACCAGCCTTGGTATTATCCACTATAACTTCACGAAACCTGATCAGTCGGTTACAGCGAGTGTCTACTGCAACCAGTTGGACAAAACAAAGAGGACGCTTGCGATTAATCAGCCGAGATCGGTCCGTGGAGACAGGCCAATCCTCTTGCAAGACAACGCTTGACCACGTGTCGCACGAACAATGCTGCTCCTCCTACAGAGGCTGGACTTGGAAACTCTGTGTCACCCGCCGTACCCAGCAGACCTTGCACCAACGCGCTACTACTTTTTCCAGGCTTTGGACTATTTTTTTTTTTACAAGGAAAAATATTCGATTCTCAACAAGCCGTGGAAAACGCCTTTCACGATTTCATGGCAACTCAGTCTCCAGGCTTCTTCCCTGCTGGCGTAACCAAGCTACCCTTAAGGTAGCAGCACCGTGTCGATCATCGTTTAGATGCAACACGCTTTGCTAACTCGTACCGCTTCATGTTTGAGATACAACAGGCTACACTTCGCATTTGAAATTGGACATTTCGTATTTAATGCCCTGATCGTGTAGCGTGTGGTCGCAAGCACCACGTTGTAACATATCCTGGACACGTTTGTGCGTTCTGGTCACTAACGCTAAAATTGGGTTCCCCTAAACGGTGGCAGCTTGTTTTACAACCGGCAAAGGGTTACTTCCCTTACCGGATCCAGTCTCTGTAATCTCTGAGCAGATGAAGGATCCCCGTCCGATGGACGTGGAACTCCTGGTTTCTCAGAGCCTCGTGTGAGAACGCTAAGCTGTTTGTCTCAGCAGATACCCTCCTGTCTGTGGTTGGCTACCATTTTTTTTCCAAAAGGCAGACAGACCACCCATTGTACCCCCCCACCGCCAAGGCTTCAGGGCCTTCCGTGAGATGCTTCCTCC